AAGCGTGAGTTGTTGTCCCGTTTGAACTACAGTAAAACCCGATTGACACTGTTCCATTGGAACGTATCCCTGCCCTCGAGCCGTCATCCCCTGGTTGCCTAGTAACCCGTTAAAATCGACGTATTCTCCCTTCCATATTTTTTCTTTCAAATTGTGGGGAGCCGTGATAACCAGGGTTTCTGTTTGGGGCGACATTGGTCCGATTGGAGATGGCATCGGGACTTGTTGAGACTGAGGTTGATATGGGGATGGGGATTGAGATTGAGACGGGATCGGATCGATTGGTTTCGGGTTTAGATCTAGATCTAGATCTAGATCTAAGTCTACATGATCCCCCAGGTCTGGATTTAGACCTCCATCCCGCCCTGGTACTATGGAAGGGAACGATACGGTAGGGACGAGGGCTGAATTGGTCTTTATGCTTTCATTAGATCTAATGCCTGTAATGTCAAGCTGACGGTTGTTTGTCGTAAACTCACCCGGTTGTGTCACGACCGAGGGTCGTCCCGACGACTGACTGGGTGTTGCTGCCTGGGCTGCAGGCACCTGCTCCACCGTCCCTGGGCCGGTCACTGGCTGATCTTGCGACACCGACTCCCTTGGCATTGACCTTGACGTGTATCTCCCTCTCCTACTACTAGTAGGCCTAGAGCTAGTAGTAGGCCCTACTAGGCCTTGTCACTCTCGTGCTGGGTCCTGTGGTAACACTAACATTCCGTGTTGATGCTCTGGTCTCGCGATCTTTGCGTTTAGTCGTCTGCCCGCCTCTTTTCTTCCCCATTGTCACTGTCAAGTTCGGGCTTGATCGAGCGCGATAGTCCGGTTTAGTTTGTAGAGTAGGCCTAAGTTAGATCTAGACTTGATCTAGAGTCTAGATCTATAGATCCCCTTTACTTTTTATGTATCCAGAATAATCACTTCCAGAGTTATACCAGGCGATAGTGTGGGCTAAACCATCCTCGACGAGCCAGCACGGTAAAAGTTGTCTTGGTAATAAAATTGTTCAAGTGTAAGTTAGACACCTAAAAAGTATAGGTCTACGTGTATATTCCTGTTCCTACGTGTATATTCCTGTTCCTACGTGAATATTCCTGTTCCTAAAATCTGGGAGAACTAAAAGAAAAACATCCAACCCCAGTGGAACTTGTTGAGTATGTGAGGCGAATTCAGTTGTTGTGCCGCGCATGCTAACTTGGAATGCGCGCACTTTACCGGTATCGCGCGCGATGCGCTTAACTAATAGTTTCTCTTTTGACCTTTCTGCACTTTGCTAGCGTAAACAACTTTGACCCTGAACTATATTGTTTACGTTGCATTCTCTCACAAATGCGCCGATTCGATAACTCGAATAATCGAATTTTCTTCGTTTTGGGGGATTTGTGGGGGCGGCCGCGTACCCTAGCAACCGCTGCGTACAGTCATGATTCAGGGACTAAGCAATGGCCTCATTACTGTGAGGCCCGAGGATCAAAACTGTGTCGATGTGCTTTATTAGTGCCCTTTTGTGAGGCATTAATCCTCATTACTGTCAGTTATGACTTAAAGACGTAGGCCCTCTAGCTGATTAGCCTAGGAGCACACACATGCTTTAGCAGTCACGCAAAACAAACACTCGCAAATTATTATTCAATACAATCTGAGAATGTATGCCATTATCTAGATCTATTAGAAATAAATAATTTTTAAAATTCTTCCCTAAACTGGAGTAAAAATAATTATTTCACCATTATGACCAACAGTGTACATTGCTACAGCACAGCTTGAACTTGTCTGGTGGGAACGTTTTTGTTTTGGGGGTCAATCAACACACTCGTTCATCTTGATCAGAATATATTATGATTTATTTTTGGGGGGTTTAATACGCCTCCTTTTAATATTTGTGACGACTGTATGATATGTGAAATAAAGATGATTGTGTACGATGAATGATTGTTTAATTGCGAGCTTAATTGTCCACACCAACAAAAAATAAAATATGAATGATGTGAATGAATACATGTATGCGGTTATACTCGGCAAATTGATTAATGTTTGGGACGCTTGTGTATGTTTGTAATTGAAATGATTATCAACATATCTGTATGATTCCCACGTCGCGATATTATTCTAGCGTTGTAATAATGGACAAAGGAATTATCATTTTCTCCGGCGTCATTATTCACGCTACGCGTTGCACATCGCCACAGCCTGAGCTTGGAAGAATTTATATTTTTTTTTCAGTCAAGTCCTGTTTTTGTTCTCCTCCCTTGACTTGGTTCTAATAAATAACCCATATTGTATTAAAATAAAACTTGATGTATTCTTTTTGCGTCGTGTCTTTTCTTCTCATGCCGTTCTTTGCAATAGTCAGACGGGAGAGTTTGACTTTTTCTTGGTAATCAATGAACTCACGGTGCGTCATGATTAGTAAAGGAAAATTTTTATCAAATGCTTAATAACATTACTAATGGTAATACTAACCATAATTCTAAAGTGATTTTTTTAAACACTCTTCCATAGCCTCCCCTCATTTTTTGTTGTTTGTTTTAATACGCCTCCCTTTAATATTTGTGACGACTGTATGAAATGTGAAATAAAGATGACTGTGTACGGTGAATGGTTGTTTAATTGCAAGCTTGATTGCCCCCCCCCCCCCCCAACAGAAAAAAAGAATAATGATGTGAATGAATACATGTATGCGGTTATAGTTGGCAAATTGATTACTGTTTAGGACGCTTGGTTCTATGGAGCGAATACAAATGAAAAGTTCGCTCTAAAGGAAAAAACATAGAATGCCGTAGCAGGATTTCACGACCGTGATTTGCCTTTGAAAATTGCCTGTCAGAAAGGCGTTTTAAATCATAATAATTCCATAGCTCTTTTTAAAAATTGAAAGAATAGAAAAAAGAGACCGGGAACTATATCGAGATTATACAAAATGTGTGTCATGAAGATGTTAACAAAATAAAGAGTAGCCTGGTGGTGATAAAGTTGAGCAGCAATTGAAAATGCAATACAAAACATTAATCAGTTCAATGGCGATAATTTATCATTCGACTTCTACTTGGCGCTATCCAGTGCGTCCCAGAAAAAACGAAATGTCAGGAAAAATGAGCTAGGAATAACAAAGTTCTGTTTGTTTAAAGTAGTGCTTGCATTTCCATACTTTTAGTAAATGAATTCGTTTTCACTGGCTACCTGCCGTAGCAACAAACGGAATTAACAAAAGACTTAACTCTGTTTCGTGGACAATCAGCCGTAGACGAAAGACTTCATGCATCATGCACGAAGTCTTTCGTCTACGGCTGATGGCTGATTGTCAACGAAACGGAGTTAAGTCTTTTGTCGATTCTGCTTGTTCCTACAGCAGGCAGCCAGTGAAAACGAATATGTTTGATAACATTATGGAAATGCAAGCACTATTTTAAGCAATCAGAACTTTGTTATTCCTAGCTCATTTTTCCTGACTGAGGTGTCATATGAAAGGGCAGAAACCCAGCATTTTAGAAATGTGATTTTCTCCTTGAAATTCAGATACCGTCCGCCAAATTACTTTTTGGTTTCCGCTCTTCAAATTCATTTTAATCACCCATGTGTGAAATATGCATCATATGAGTTGCATCAAATGAAAGAAGAGGATGTACGCTTTCCAAGGTTCTAGGACAATTACCCCCTGGGCAATCATCCCCCGGAAAATTACCCCCCGGAAAACTACCCCCCAAGGACAATTACCCCCCGGAAAATTACCCCCCGGAGAATTACCCCCCGAGGACAATAACCCCCTAAGGACAATTACCCCCCGGAAATTTACCCCCCGGAGAATTACCCCCCGAGGACAATTACCCCCCAAGGACAATTACCCCCCGGAAATTTACCCCCCGGAAAACTACCCCCCGAGGACAACTACCCCCGAGGACAATTACCCCCCGAGGACAATTACCCCCCGAGGACAATTACCCCCCGAGGACAATTACCCCCCAAGGACAATTACCCCCCGGAAAACTACCCCCCGAGGACAACTACCCCCGAGGACAATTACCCCCCGAGGACAATTACCCCCCAAGGACAATTACCCCCCGGAAAACAACCCCCCGAGGACAATTACCCCCCGGAAAACTACCCCCTGAGGAATTACCCCCCGAGGACAATTACCCGCCCCCATGGATAACTACGCCTGAGGACAACTACCCCCCCCCCCCCCCCCGAAGACAATCAGGATTCAATAGCAAAAGACGATTTGACACATTGAGAGATGTTGTGAAGGCTACGAGCCCATAAAATCCCGTGCATGAACCCACATTCGTTCAAATACTTGCGCGTGATGTTCCTCTCATTACTACACATTTTTCTTTAACTATAATGTATGCAACACCACTGTGGTTGCTGTTTTCTACGAAGGATTTCTCTTGAGCAGCGTTATTTCAAATTTTTGTTAGACACAGTGCCCTCTTAAGAAATGAAAAGTTTCGCCCAATCTTAAATTCTTCACAAACTATTTATTTTGCATCACTCTGGCATTCGTCAAGAGCTATGTACACACGTATGGGCACATTTGTTTCTTGATTTAGTGAACGAGCAAGAAAAAAAAGGACAAGACATAGTTATTTTCTTTAATATGGCACCGTACATACCATATATTTAACTTGAAGGCAATTTTTATTTCAAAATAAATTACAGTACAAGAAAACATATTTGAGTTCACCATGACAACAGAAATATATATATATATATAAATATATATATTACATTACATTTATAAACATGAAGAGAACCTTTAGTTTGGAATAGATCGTGGATGAGGGCCTATTATGCATACAAAGACAAATATACTATCAGCTGATTAGAAAAGTTACAGAGGATGCATAAATAATGAAATCTTACATCCTAATTTCTTTGTTGGGCCATTTTGGGGGAGACTAGCTGTAACGCGTACTCATCTGCGCGCAATGTATTGTTAAATTTCTAAGAAATGTAAATTCCGTACTTTGATTTGATACATGCGTCTTCTGGCAATTGAATTCGATTTGATACATGCGTCTTCTGGCAATTGAATTCGATTTGATACATGCGTCTTCTGGCAATTGAATTTGATTCAATACTCGTGGCATATTAAGTCAAACTTCACAAAGATGGAATGGATACAGAGCGAGAGGGGTGGGCGAAAGCTCCTCCTGGGAGGATACATGTACGTCAAGCAAAAAGATTTGGCAGATGGGTACGAGGGCTTTGAATGTGAGCTACGAAGGAACACACGACAATGCAGAGCAAAAATTAAGGTAAGCATCAAACGTACCAACATATTGTGGAGTGAATGACTTGTACCAACCGTTTATTACAATACATAAGTCCCAGAGCCTATTGGTTCTACGCCACAGCCCATTGTCTAATATATTACCAATATGAAAATGATTAAGGTTGAACAGAGCCTAACAATTTATATAATAATTTCAATTTTTTTTAAATGGACACTAGCATAGCATAAACTTAAGTTAAAACTTTAGACGCACGGCTTCCTAGGACCAGTGATCTCTTTGGTCAATATAATTAATGGACAGTCGGCTCAAAAGGGTTGTTCCCCTAAACAGCTCCTTATAAATTCTTAACTGCAAACTTTTAAACGATTTCACCGAGACACAACTGTGTCCGTTTTTCTTACGTAACGTTTCCATAAAAATCAGAGGTCGCCATTGAGTCATAAATGACTCAACACACCTTAACCCTAATAAGGCCGGGGGGGGGGGGGGGGGGAGGGGGCACGTCCCCCCCTCCCCCGGCCGCTCAAAAATATGTTAAAATCAGCCCTAAATTCGCCAAAATGTACTGAAAAACAGGGACGTGCCCCACGGGCCCCAAAATTCAATAATTGTTTGTAATAAAAAAAAATATAAATAAAAAAAAAATATATATATATATACAAATGCCTGACCTAAAAAGTTGACTCCAACGAAACAAAATGTCAAATTTACAATTTTCGTGACCAAAAAAAAAAGTGTCCGCTTACCAAACCCCCCCCCCCCCCCCGCTTTTTCTGCGATTTTTATGGGACCAAAAAAAAGTGGGGTCCGCTTACCACCCCCCCCCCCCGCTTATTCAGCAATTTTTATGGGACCCAAAAAAAAGTTATCTCCGCTTACCCCCCCCCCCCCCCCCTCCCCCCGTTTATTCAGCGGCTGGCTGAGTCGTTGCGTTTTGGGGGACTAAAACAAAAATATTTATATGTTCTCTTACCCCCCCCCCCCCCGTGTGCCCCCCATATACGCACCCGGGAAGAAATTCCTGGATCCGCCCCTGGGCATTATGCCCCCCCCCCTCCACGATTTTCTAATTGTTCGGGAACGCATATGGATGGCGCCCCGACGCTCGCTGACCTTTTTCTTTCGAGTCTTGCGCATCTTTAAAAGAATGTTTTTGAAAATCGGATGCTTAAATATGAATAATATATGATTTATGGGTAAAATGTGATTTATGACCTTATTTGCATAAATTACCATAAATATGCAAATAAGTGAATTTTTCAAAAAATTGAAATTATCATAGTATTGTATAATACACTTCACTTGACATGCGTGCAAATTTTCGCGGAGATCGGCCGTTTCACGGCAGCGATCTTAAGGGGGCATAATCACCCCCCCCCCCCCGGCCGTATTAAGAACTCAAAAAGTGATTCGGTAACATTGTTGAAGGTTGATTAAAAAAACGGTGTAATTTTTGTATGAAATCTTACTTATTATATTCCTTTTACTGTACTTACAGGCAAAAAATCCTGAGAAAATTCTTAAACCACAAATAAATGCACGGTTTTCTTTGAAGCGGACACTGAGTAACACCCTTTAACAGTGATTAACAGTAAATTCTCCCAACCATTTTTGAATTTTCCAAACCGTTTTTCCATGAAAATAAGACATAAGACAGGCTTTTTAAAATCTTTCAACACTAAAATGTCTGGAATGTTATGAAGAGCCAGTTTGTTGCAATCGTCACAAGACGATGTACTTTCACCTGAAATGTAATTAAATTGTGATAATATAGTTGGGAGAATTAAGGAATCGATCAGTGAGATCAGTTTTTCCCAATGGTTATCATTAATAATGGTCCGTTTTCACTCAAACTTTCAGATTATCTTTAATTGTACATCTAGCAATGAAGTCACTGCCTTAGCACCATTTTCTCTCATATAAACAATGTTACCAAGTCCCTTTAAAGACCGAAAAAAAAATGATTCGCAAGATCAATGTCATTGCTGTAGCTAAGGACAGCCAAATTGATGATTTTCCGCACTATATGCAAACATCACACTCGGAGAGGACCTCCTTGCAGTGGTATTTTCAGAGGAGGGGAGGGGGTGGGCTGGCATTGCCTACCATAAGCACAAGGTAAAGGGGATAAAATAAGAATCACAGTTTAAACTTCATGAAATTAGTGTCGTTGCTTCAGTTCATAGAGGAACCGTAAGCTTATTAATGATCTACTGAGATCGTAATCAATTACTTAACGGTTATAGCTGAGCACAAGATTAAACAAATAACCACATTAAAATATTACTTAAAATTTGGAGACCGGCCTAAAACGCAAACATTTTCCGTAATATGCGTTGCCACCCCACTTTTCAGTGACGATGTTTCCATCATTTCATGGTTGACTGAGCACAAACAGAGGAAAAAAATTATTAAGTCATAAAGGTATTTCTTTACTTCTTGTTGTTGAAAGAAACTAAAGACGGCAAGCTAGTCAGTTACTTTCCCCCACATCGTATTTATTAGGTTATGCTTGAGTGAGCACAAATTAAAGATAGAATACAAAAAATGCAATGTCATATTAAACAATAAAGGACATCAATTTGTTTATGAATAGCGACCCCGATTTCGTATTATGAATAGCGGTCCTTAAGAGTAATGACCCCTAGATGTGAATTATGAATAGCGACCCTTATCTCACTTTATGAATAGCGGTCCTCAAGAATAACAGTCCTCACGCTTTTGTGAATAGTGGCCCTCTTTCCGTTTTATGAATAGCGGTTCTTCACGTATCGGAAGTTCCACGTAATAAATCGCGGTCCTTATGACTAGTGAGGTTACACTCCGAGCCAGCATGTTTATTAAGGGAAAAACATACAATCACACAAACACACAAACAAGAGAGGAATAGCCACATTTCAAAGGTGATGTAAATGAGTACCTGGTAGGAATTAATTCGTTGAAATGCTAGAGCGCCGCAGTGGCCGCCTTGCTAAAGCAAGGGTAATAATCGGGGCAGCGCCAGGAGCGTCACAACGTGACAGACATGTCCGCTATATAAGAAGCCACCATTATTAATATTATTATGAAGTAATGGATGGAGGTCAACGACCTTCTGAAAAACATTGTTCTACAATAAAGGAAGAAATGACATACATTTTAGGAATAAACATGGTTATTTTGTCTTTAATTTGTGCACAGTCAAACATGACATATAGGTCCAATATGATAAAAGTAACTGACAAGATATACCAAGTTTAATTTCTGTCAATATTAAATGAAATAGAGATATTAAGATTTGTTTTTGTTGTTAATGTTATTTTTTGTTCATTTTCGCTGACCTGAAGTTAGAATTGTGATTATTTTGTTCTTTAACTTGTGATCAGTCATCCATGAACTAACGGATGTTAAGCAGGGTAACAGGAGGTCATCGATGGGTGTGCATGGTGTTCGCATTCAGAGCTGACAAATCATCAATTTGACAGTCTCACTACAATTAAGCAAAGGCATTAATGTAGCTAATTTTCCAAATTTTGTCTTTAAAGATAGTATCACACATTTGCAAGCCCTCAAAATCTCGATGAGATTTTTTCTGCAGATGGCTTGTGATATGCAATACAATTTTTGAACAATACTCTGAAAGATTTAGAGCTCAACCCCTTCCAGTTATGAAGTAGGAAACAAAAATGTAATCAATTATTTTCTTTTATTTTCCTCATTTTCTATTACGGCGTCTACCAGACGCTTTAAGAAGGAAAATATTAAAATTGTCATTAATAATATTTTCAGTAATAATAATGACATTACATTATCGATAACATTGTGGCGTATCCGCACTCCTCTCCAATTTGCTCAGAAAATGTAATCAACTTAATTCTCTTCGTTGTTGATGACGGAATAGATTTCTTCCATACAAGGATTGGATAGGAAAACACATTTGAAATAGTATATTTAGGGTGCATGTATAACTGAAAATTTTGTCTAAGGAAAATAAAGATTTCTGATTTTTAGTACAGAGTAGAAGGGAGGGGAGTTTGCAACTTAAACAAAATAAAATCTTATCTTTAATCGGAATTCATTTAAACTTTCACCGACCCATTCCTCTCATTTACCTGCTTGATTAAGTATGACTGGCTACTTCTGGTTTCCACACAAATATTTCTGTAAAAGCACAGATACAATCCTGTTAAAGGTACTATTCCCATTTGCAGGCCAAAAAATGAAAAGGTTAAATTCCAACGGCATTTGAAAGATAATACTAATTTAGAACTCTCCTAAAAAACGGGGGTTTGAAAATGTCTTTAAGTGGGAAAATAACAAATATTAGTTGTCGAATCGACTTAAGAGCTATAGAGCCAGTAAGTAACAGTCTGATTTTCAGACCATTGTACCGAATGGTCGTACGTTTTAAGCTGCGCAGTGATTCAATCAGTTTAATTTGGCCATTACAAGAAGTGGGTTATTGATGTAGGCAAATGCTTATGTACCCTTTACAGCTCATTTTATATATGTTATTACCAAAGAAGAAAAAAGGCCAGTCAGTCACTCAATAGTGTCTGACGGTGAAGTCTAGCAAGTAAACGGGTTTCCTTGCATAATTTGAATATTAGGACACTGCTAACGTTTATATTTCACAGATAGGACATACATGACATATTCATAATTCCTACAAAGTTCGACAGCATTAGATGTTTGCTGCAAAAGGGACATAGTATCTTTACGGTTCAAAGGAAATCCAACCCTTGTAACAATTCCATTGCTTTTAAGGAATGAAAGCAGATACATCAGAGAAACAGAATGGCAAAAGTTTGGAATAAATCGGACCAATGATAAGAAAATAATGAATGTTTGATATATGAGATCACTATATACATCCATGCAAATCTCAAATTGGCAATTCTCTCATTGGATTGTGCCGTAGTGACAAATAACCCTTCGTTTGTCTTGTACACAAATATGAAGATTTTTTTTTCTTCTCCCAAGCGCCTTCACCCTTGGGGCACTACTTAAAATATAATATGGAGAGTATATTATTACAGGTTCTCTAGAAATAATTTTTTGTGTGTAGGAACAAACGGGAAAGGGAGTGTCGTGGTCGAGTGGTTTAAGGCGCTTGACTTGGAGATGCGAAGGTCGAGGGTTCGAATCCCGACACGGCACTAATATCCTTTGGCAAGATATTAACCTGCACTTGCTACTCTCCACCCAGGTGTTAAATGGGTACCCGGTAGGATGCGACCGTCATTGTTGGTCAAACAGTTTTTGAGCGTCATGTAACGCCTGGCTGGAATGCTCCCCAGGGAGTGGAGATTGTGCACACATTGTGTGCGGGTAAGCACTGAATCCAATGACCGGGGTAATAATATATTTGTAAAGCGCTTAGAGACATTTGTATTTAGCGCTATATACATTAAATTTATTATATTATTATATTATAAAGTTGTCTGCCGCTACTTTATACAGAAAATACCGATTCGGCTAATTCGAAGAGCCCTACCTATATATATATTTTTTTTTAATTTATTCATGGTTAAAAACAAATACAACTTGTGCCCGCATTCAGCAAAAGCTGTTTTTTCAGCGAGGCAGTGATTACATAAAATTCGAATAAAATTTAAAACAATGAAAATATAATTCACAAACAAATATGAAAGTTATAATAAATGAACATATTTACAGAAATTTAACTACAAAATCAAATCATAGTGACAAAGGGGAAAAAACCCAAAACAAACACAAAACAATCAAATAAACAATTAAGTTTGTATCTACGGGATGAAAGTGATTCTAACTTTCAAAAATTCAAACTTTGTTCAACACGCTTCACTAATTTTTCAGGTTTAGTCTTGAGAAGTTAACTATCAATGTTGGACTCCCCGTTAACAAAAAAATCACAAGGAGTTGCTTTTTAGGAAACTTAATTCGTTGTGTTGAGATCAACGTACATGTAGCTATTTAGGGTGAATTGCCGTTTGGTTAACAACCAGCCAGTCTACTATCCACTTTGTCCCATAATAGTTTCGTCTACTTATCGTTAGATCTAGCGGCCATCTAGGACGACAGTCATTCGGTCTAATCCCCAATTAATCTATTACCATTTGGTCTATTATTCATTTTGTCTGATTCCTAGTTTTCTAAATGCCCATTTCGTCTACCATCCATAATGCCTAATAATTAGTGGATGATTAATAGCCTATATATTATATGGGAATAATGTTTTATCTCTCTCAATCTCTCTCTCTCTCTCCCCACACTTCCTCTCTCTCTCTCTCTTTTTCTTTTTCTCTAATAGGTCATGGGTGATAACCAATTCCGCGATAGAACGGAGCATAACCATCCGCCTAACCATGGTAGAAGCAATGCTACGAAGGTTAAAGCAGCAACGAAGAGAAGGGCCACTGAGTCCAATGAAAGACCACAACAGGTGCTTATGGCGACACTATGCGAGGTAACAGAGGAAGGGCGGGCAGCGCTACCATCACTAAACAACATGAGGAGGAATATCCGGAGACAGCGCCAAGAGAACCCAAACGCCCTCCCCATTCCCATGACTGTGGAAGATCTGGAAATCCCTGTAGATCAACGATTGACGCTGGGTGGAGAGCTTTTCCTTTATCACGACTCTGGAAGAAACGACCCTCGCCGGATTTTAGTGTTTACTACGGAAAGGAACCTTCAGGTAAGAACAAGTGTTGGGGTTCATTGCCATTTGGCCTTCTACGGTTCCGCAATTTTAGGAAGTGCTGCAAAAGCATACGTATTGAGTAAAAAAGATTTCAGGATTCATTAGAATGAATTGAAATTGTGAGGTCATCATAAAGATATCCAAATACTTCCTATAAAATTGAAATTGAAATTAAATTAAAATTGGTTATTATTCTCGACAAAGTACAGGATCGGTTCTAGAACAATTCCCCTGAGGGGGTATTGTTCTGATACGACATGATCTCCTATTTCGATTATGTTTTTTAATTATCATGCTATGATAATTAAAAAACAGTAAGTAAGTAAATAAAATAGCTTGGAAATAATACATACAATTTTGCAAGTGAAACAGTTTGTTTGTTTGAAATATATAATATTCGATGCAAATGTATTCATTCTGTTTTGCTACTAGTTGCTGTCAACGTCTGAAAGTTGGTTCGCTGATGGCACGTTCAAGGTAGTGCCGACCATCTTCTTCCAGTTGTGGACAATCCACGCCACATATGACGGACATGTGGTGCCTTTGGTTTATTGCCTCATGCTAAATAAGGACCAGGCGTCATATACAAGGGTACTAGCAGCACTACAGGAGGGAAGGGCGTTCTACCCAACCAGAATCATGATCGACTACGAATTTGCAGCGAAGAACGCATTTTCCCAGGCATTTCCAAATGCTCACGTTCAAGGATGTCTTTTTCATCTCTGTCAGAGGATACATGAACGGGTATGGTGATATTTATATATTGACAGTTGATCCCTTTTTTTTACCCGCCATTTATTGATCAAATAGTACATTCAAGGCTCATGGCTAAAAAAAAAAAAAAATAGTGATACAAATATTAGGTAGAGTTTGAAATTTGAGTAAGTGGACTTGCAAGCCATGATAAATGCTGAGGAGAGAGGGGGGGGGGGGGAGGACTCTAATAAATATTTTTTCTTTTAATCATCCTTTCAAGCCCAGTAACAAAAACTTTATATGATGATTAGAGGGTAGGGGGCTAGGGGCTATATCTCTTTTCGATTGTGCCTAAAACTGACCTGGAAAAAACACGGACCTCTAATCGCCAGGGGAGGGGGAGGGGGGAATATAATCGATAGTTATACTGAAAATTGGTAGGCCACAAGGAAGCTGAGTAGGATACAAGCATGTTATTTTCTCCTATAGGAAACGCTCATTGCGTATAGTCAGGCAAGGGAGAAAATTTCGGGCAGCCCTGGCGGATTCGGGCGAAAAAATAGGGGACAGCGGTTTGTTCCTCCCCCCTCCCCCACACTAAATGAACAGTTACCAATATCTATGCATTTTGCTCAATGGGTAGACAACAAACAATATTTCTGAAGTGTGAAAGGGCTGGTACATGTACTGTTATGAGTTTTATATTATTATTTTTAGATCAAGCAAGAAGGGCTGCAGGTGCTCTACAACGAGGATGAGGAGATCCGGACACAGGCGAGAATGATAGGAGCGATTGCATTTGTGCCAGTGGAAGACACCGTGGAGGCGTTTGAAGCCTTGGCAGGCATTGCAAGGGCAGAGCTGCAACCTGTCCTCAATTATTTTGAGGATACTTATGTGGGTCGACCTCAAAGAGCCGCGGGACATGGTCGCCAGGCAGCGAGGTTCCCGCCCATAATGTGGAACATGTTCAATGCGACACTGCAGGGGGAATTTCGCACGAACAATCATGTGGAGGGCTGGCACCGAAGGTTCCAGATCGGCGTCGGTGCCGACCACCCCTCGTTTTGGCAGTTTTTGACCTGCCTAAAACGGGAACATGCCATGAACGAAGTAACGATCGGACAAGCGCAAGCTGGAATGGCGCCTCCCGCACGTAGGAGAGTGTACCAAGATACCAATCTCCGGCTCATCAGGCTCGTTACTAATTACCATGGGAGAGACATTGTAGATTTTTTGAGGGGCGTGTCCCATAATCTTCACTAACGATCAGTCACCTATGCTATTGTACAGTTTTTGATCAGTCCAGTTGAATTGTTTTAACATGCAGGACCTCCCATTTACTTGGCATTACATTATATGGGATGTTTTGTTTTACATTAAGAGATGCGTATATACATTGTTGAATACAGAATGATATCATTTGATATCTTCTTTTTGTATGCATTTGATCGTTTTCAGGATAAAAGTTTCTATTTTTTTTAATTCTCTTTTTTACTGTTTCATGTTTATATGATAAGCATGATTAGCATCGGGCAAGCGCAAGCTGGAATGGCGCCTCCCGCACGTAGGAGAGTGTACCAAGATACCAATCTCCGGCTCATCAGGCTCGTTACTAATTACCATGGGAGAGACATTGTAGATTTTTTAAGGGGCGTGTCCCATAATCTTCACTAACGATCAGTCACCTATGCTATTGTACAGTTTTTGATCAGTCCAGGTGAATTGTTTTAACATGCAGGACCTCCCATTTACTTGGCATTACATTATATGGGATTTTTTGTTTTACATTAAGAGATGTGTTACGTATATACATTGTTGAATACAGAATGATATCATTTGATATCTTCTTTTTTTATGCATTTGATTGTTTTCAGGATAAAAGTTTCTAGTTTTTTTTTAATTCTCTTTTTTTACTGTTTCATGTTTATATGATAAGCATGATTGTGATGATCTTTGCCTCTGAGTTTTACTTTGGGATGTCAGAACTCTGTTTTTAGTACATGACTTTGATAAGTCTCCTCCTTTGGCTTCCTTCAAGACAGCAGGAAGGTGTTTTATTTGTGTTAATGTATCATTAATATTTATCATGTTTATCCTCTTCAAATATGGTTTTGGGCAATACGCGCTAAAATTTGCTGGACAGAAGTTTTATCGTTGCAGAAAAAGCTCTTCGTATTAATCGCAACTCTCAGTCGCGTTCCCTTACAAATCCTATATTCTTTGAAAATAGCATGTTAATAATTAATGACCTCTATCTCTTCCAGTTAGGCCAGTTTTTGTAAACTAACAGTAATGACATGCTCTCAATTTTATTCATGATGTGTTCCTCCCCCCACCCCCCTACAAAAAAATTACATTGTGGTGACTTTCATTTACCTCTTCTAAATACATTTATCTATGCCGGTCTCAAATTTTGGAACTTTTCACGTATTTGTACTAAACTTGCCCCATCACTCCATTCTTTTAAGCGAAAAGCGAACTCGTTTCTTTTACAATCTTATAAAACATATTAAATCTTCGCGTAGTCAACTCGTGTTTTACTCCCCCCCCCCCCCCCCCCACAGATTGCGTTTGTGACCTTTCATATAATGTCAGTCTTCGTCCTATGTCTCTGTTGGATCATGTTCACCCAGACGTAGGAAAAGCATGTTGTTATACATTTTTAAATTATGAATTTATAATTCATAAGTTCTCATTTCACAATTTCAGATTAATCTGTTTTGTCTCCAAATGTATATGTATTTATTCCATATGTTTATTACTACCGTCTTTTGAGGGATCCACATTCTACACATCCCGCTTCTCAGTAGATCCCTCCATTTTCACAGTTTTTTACTTTTAAACAAACGAAACATCACTTACAGCACATGTATACATTCTTTTGTAATTTAATTAATGATTTTCAAAATGATTTATGTAATTGATTTCTTGTCATAATTGTTTATATTGATAGTTCTGTTGGAAGTGAAAATAAAACTGAAAATTGAAACACTGTTTGAAATGCTATTAAAGTTATTCACTTGTGATAGAGAATGTAAATAGTTAAAATATTGCATCTTGTATGTCAATTTACCTCCGCAACATTTTAAGTTCAATACCTTTTCTTTTATATAAAGAATGATGACAAAACAAGAATAGGATTTTCACCACATTAACTCGTACACTAGAGAACCATAAACAGCTAAACAAAAAATAAATTTTAAGCACAGTCTAAGTAGACATATTCCTTTGCTTCCAGAATTCATGAAAAGTCAAAGTTTTAGGAGACTTGGAGGCCACACTGAATAACGTCAAACAAAGCTGGCGAGAAGCGAACATCGTCACTAATGCTTAAGCGTCCCTTCGATTTTTAATCTCTGTTAAACTCGTTAAGAACAAAAGCTTGTCAATTTCATATGGTTCATAGAATTACCATGACCACGTTTCAGGGGGAAAATAAAGTAAAAATGCCTGCTTTAACCTTTTCTGAGATGGAGGTAGTGGATGTTTCTATCTTTCATATGGCCTAGAGTTTGAAAAAGTTTCACCAATTAAAAATTAGAAAATTATGATTTGTTGAAGGTGCAAACACAAATATGCAACTCCGTGACGTGTCTTGTGAGCTCCCCGCCTATTTGCCCTGTGCTAGAAAACTTTTAAAAAAATCTGTATTCTTCCTTAACAAATTTTCCACATACATTCACCCAAAATATAATTAAATATAATTATTGCAAATATGTTTATACACAACCCCTGTACGAAACAAATCTATGCCGTCATAAATAACTAAGAAAATGAAAGTTCATGACATTTTTCTCTAAATAGCAATTTGAAGCGGAGCTCGCATTATACGTCACAGTGTTGCAAATTCCCTGGGTGTGATTGTCCTCGGAGGTAATGGTGTTTCGAGGGGGGGTAATTGTCCTCGGGGGGGGGGGGGTAGTTGTCCTCGGGGGGTAGTTTTCCGGGGGGTAGTTGTCCTCGGGGGGTAATTGTCCTGGGGGGTAGTTGTCCATGGGGGGTAATTGTCCTGGGGGGTAGTTGTCCTCGGGGGTAGTTGTCCACGGGGGGTAGTTGTCCTCGGGGGGGGGGGGTAATTGTCCTGGGGGGTAGTTGTCCTCGGGGGTAGTTTTCCGGGGGGTAGTTGTCCTCGGGGGGTAATTGTCCTCGGGGGTAGTTGTCCTCGGGGGGTAGTTTTCCGGGGGGTAAATTTCCGGGGGGTAATTGTCCTTGGGGGGTAATTGTCCTCGGGGGGTAATTCTCCGGGGGGTAATTTTCCGGGGGGTAATTGTCCATGGGGGGTAATTGTCCTCGGGGGGTAATTCTCCGGGGGGTAATTTTCCAGGGGGTAATTGTCCTTGGGGGGTAGTTTTCCGGGGGGTAATTTTCCGGGGGGTGATTGCCCAGGGGGTAATTGTCCTGATACGGCTTTCCAAATATGTGTCATTTATTGATTATAAATGTGACTAAGTTATGATAAAACATCGATAATTCTCGGTTTCGTTTTGCTCTGGGACGCACTAAATGATCGCAAAAGGGTCAGGGACACAAATACAAAAATTGATTTTTGCTCTAACATTCGAATCATTTATTCGTAGATTTGTATAATTAATTAGCGAAAATAAAATTTTGGAATCATAATGCACAAATACACAAACATACCAAACATGTTTTGATTCTTATTCTTAAAAAAACGGCAAATTTTAAAAGATCTTTTGAAAAGGAGGGAGGCGCGATAGCTCAGTGTTAGAGCAGTAGTCAGCTCGTAACCGGGAGCTCCCTGGTTAGAAACCAAGTCGATATGCTAGTGCCCTTTGGTAAGGCATATTAAAAACTCAACATTACATTTCGTTCGGAGAGGTCTTAAAGCCGCCGGTCCCCTGTGAGCATACACATGCTTCATAAAGAAGTCAGGTTTAAAAAAAAAAGCGAACGGTACAGGAAGCTACCTGTTATGGATAGGCCTACATTGAAGGTGTGACTTAACTAGTGAGAAGAAGGATAACATGAAACAAAAGATCTACTCATGATGACGGCCTGACGAAACTGGCAGAGGCCCATTAGGAGGGCTCCGCTCGCTAGTTATAAGGACAACTATTCATGAAGACCGCTTTACATTAGGACAACTATTCATGAAGACCGCTATTCGTAATTTGAGAAAATGGTCATTATGTATAAGGGTCGTGAATTCGTAATACGACATCTCCCCCTACCCAAAACTAAATAAATAAATAGAAAAGATAAATAGATTAATAAACTAACTAATAATACAATAGCATAACATGCCCGGGAATTGGTAATAGCTGCCTACGAGCGGAACAATGGGCGCAACAATTATTAGCTGCTCAAAGAGCTGTCTTTTTTCATTGTGTTGCAATAACAAAGTGCTTGTAAAGGTTACATGTACTATAATACCCGTATGCTATACGACACCCAATGGGAACATGACGTGTTCAGGCGGCACGTTAAAACAAAAGACTTTACTAGCGCTAGCTAACACATATGAAACGTCAAAACCTCAGCAATCGATGACATCAAATTGTTACGACAATCAATACAGTTTCTTTGCGAAGAAATATTCGATCGAATTTTATGCTTGGAACAGATAAGAGATTTCGAATTGTTCGAGGTGAAAATAACGAACATCATGTCCGATAAACACTCCCTTTTTCTTCTTAAATCGGTATACTCTGTTCATTCAAGGTCCCATACGATTCAAACATAATTTGTGACCCGGCACCACAAAACCAACAAAAAGTCGCAACCAGCGATTCTCCGTAATCAGCTAAAATGTCAATTTAGGTGAAAAAAATAGATTTTTGTTTTTTTTGCATTTTCTGAAAGAGTGGTCTTTTCTGTACCTAAATATCAAAATTTGGAAGTCTAAAACATAGTAGAAGATGTGTTTTAAACGGTTTTTCTAGACCAGTTTTTTTCGCACAGCCTTCGGTCTCTTCCAAAATTTGATCACTTTTCCCGAGCGAAATTATCGTAGTCCGGAAATGGTCGGTCGTTGCTAACGGGTCGTGCTACGCGGGCTGTGATTGGTCCGTTATAGCAATCAGTGCGGCGCGCCATTTTGTTTGTATCCGCTTTCATATCCGAGTTCCAGATTTGCGTTCGTCTTATATTCTCCGTTAACGACTTCGAGTAGCTTGATTGTACATCACATATCCAGAATTTGTTGATCAAGAGTAAGAACATTATTATATTTTATACATTTGAGAGTGACAAGTTGCGAAAAAGTCTACAACGTCGTTACAATGCCAGGTTTTGTACGTGAGCAGAAAGAGCAAGTCATAGTAAAAATACTTTGAACCTCCTGTGAGAAAGAAAACAGTATGGGAATTAAATATAAAGCAAGTTCATAATGTGGTTACAAATAATTGCCCAGATGTATACAAAACAAGATAGGTGACAAGCAGTGTTATGTAAGGGGGAACAAAAAGACTCCGGGTCCACCATGAATAGGCATTGTCTAGTGCAGGTGTCTCGGCACTATGTTGCAGTTTACTTAATCTGTCCAATTACAACTCTATACATTTACAACATAATAACTTTTGAAAGACTTAAGTCCACACATTGAAACCTCAGAAACATAATGAACAGACTATGTTTGACCATCAGGCCAAATTTCAGCCTAATCTGAAAATCTCTTCATAGTGGTTGCTATGGCCTTTTGATTCACCCTTCTATTGATTTCCCTGTGGTTTGCTTGCTCCGCATGCTTGAATAGCCTCAAACTTTAAAGCTCTCTTTCTCACAATTTAATACCAGTAACCTCCCTCACCAGCTCTTTTCATTCACTAAATTGAAAGGGTTAGGAAGCTTCAATTTGGACAAGTAATATACAATTTTAATGAGGAGAACTTCTTCTTTCATAATTAGATGAAATCAGGAAAATAATTTGTTGCTACTTTCTGGTGGTTTTGTGGTGCTGGGTCACATTTACAATGTTGATTTGCAAATGATAATCTCCCTGGGAGTATATCGATTGCCCCGATGATGCAGATATTCATTTTTCGTAAAATTGGTGCAGGGAGACAGTCTTCCTTATGATTCGAGCAGAATTTTGGTGAGTGCATTTCGAAAAAGAGCGTCTTCCATCTACCGTAACGTTTTGATGATGCAGGCTTTCGACAATACGAGTATCATTTTTGTAATATCTTTAATTTGCAGATATTTGGTTGTTTCGTATGACATATTTATAAACACCCTATAATCTTATCCTATGTGCCCTGTATGCGCCCTGTATGCGCTCAGCCTTTAAGGCCAGGTCACACACAGCCGACGCATGGGGGACGCACGGCCAGCGCATTGGAAATTTGCAATTTTGGCCAGTGCGTTGTCGTGCGC